TTGAACGACTTTTTTTACGACTTTTTTTACGACTGTTTTACGACTTTTCTATGAACCCAATAACCCAACAACTTTGTTTACGACTTTTTTACGACTTTTTTACGACTTTTTTACGACTTTTTTTACGACTTTTTTTACGACTGTTTTACGACTTTTCTATGAACCCAACCCAATAACCCAACAACTTTGTTTACGACTTTCTACGACTTTTTTTACGACTTTTTTACGACTTTTTTTACGACTTTTTTACGACTTTTTTACGACTTTTTTACGACTTTTTTTACGACTTTTTTTACGACTGTTTTACGACTTTTCTATGAACCCAATAACCCAACAACTTTGTTTACGACTTTCTACGACTTTTTTTTACGACTTTTTTACGACTTTTTTTACGACTTTTTTACGACTTTTTTTACGACTTTTTTACGACTTTTTTACGACTTTTTTACGACTTTTTTCTTTAACCCAACAACTTTGCTTACGACTTTTTTACGACTTTTACGACTTTTTTACGACTTTTTTTACGACTGTTTTACGACTTTTCTATGAACCCAATAACCCAATAACCCAACAACTTTGTTTACGACTTTTCTACGACTTACCTCTTTCTATTCGTCCATCTCCCTGTCTGGATCGTTATCATCTTCTGGATCCCTCTCAAGCTCCTCGTCGCCTACTCCATCACCAGGATCCCCCCTGCCTTCATGCATTGTTCAAAGTGGCCCCTATCCATTTGTATACATAGGCGAGCTCTTCGTAAAACTTGGAGCGTCGCTCTATGTATTTGATCGGGGGCCACATTTTCTGCCCACTTTTGAACAGCCTGCCAGCATCCATCTGCGTTGCCAGGTGGACCGTTAGAGTAGATGGCCTCTTTGCACGTTCCCCAAACATAATAATCCAATGGATTATGATCTGGGGAACGTGCTGGCCATTCTACGGTACCACCACGGCCTATCCACTCAGGGTAAGACTGGAAAAACATAGAAATCAGTATACTTTTTTTTATAAATTAATAAAAAACAAACAGTAATCAATTACCTCGTCGAGATAGTCCCGGACAGGCTGCGCAAAGTAGGCTGGGGCTCCGTCGTGCATCAGGATAATGTTATTTTGATCTGGGAGGACGTCATCTAGAAGAGCTGGCAGATCATGTTGCAGAAAATCGAGGTACGCACCAGCATTGAGGTTTCGCGGTAGACGGAATGGACCCACAATTCGGTCACGAATCACACCAGCCCATACATTTACGGCATATCTATGCTGCGAACGATCTAAATTATGTTGAAAAATATTGTTAAATATTTTGTTGTGCAAGCAAATACAATATTATTCTTAAAATATACCTTCTCACACCGCAAATGGATTCTCGTGGGCCCACACATGTTCATTGTGTTGGTTGAACATTCCGATTCGCCCGAAAGTGGATTCATCCGTCCATAAAATGCGATCCAAGATGTTAGGATCTTCGTCAACCGCGTCCACAAGCCAATGACAGTACCTCAATCTCTGTTGCGGATCTCCAGGTTCTAATAAATGATTAAACGGTCCATTGTCTTTAATACAAACCGAGATATAATTGATCAAAACATAAAAATAAATACTGTGTCCGTCAGCATATCAAAGTTACTACAGGATCGACCTCCTGTCGTTACATGCGAATACATAACCGCTATAAATAACAAATTATGTTGACCATCATCCTTCATGACTCGTTGTACAGTGCTGTACGAACACGCCACACCTAACGCCGCCGAGACTTGCCGCGAAACAGATCGCAAGCTGTCTGTCGGATCGGCGGCGAAAGCTGCGACGATAGGGTCATGAAGGCGATCGCGTTGGCGTTGGCGTCCTCCATCAGGATTCCTGACCACGACACTGCCTGTTTCCCTCAACCTCCTCACGGTATTTTCTATCGTCCGAGGATTGGGGTGTTGTGCTCTGAGAGGGTAAAGCTCAGCGTACCGTCGAGCAGCTGCATTCGCATTACCCTCAGCCCAGCCCAAGCACAACACCATATCGGTGTACTCCTCGTTGGAATAAGCATTTCTTCTTGCCATTTTGCAACGATGGAGTACACCGTGTCAAGAAAATTTTGCAACTAAGTCTATCAATAGTAATGAACAAATGAATAGCAAAAAAAAAAACATTACTATTCATTTGTTTGAAACTATTGATGTTTGACTGTTTGAGAGTTTACATATTACAAAATATTCAAATCCTTGAACTATCGAAAATTCGATGCTTAAGTTGAGATAATTAAATAAATAGCGTTAAATCCATTACCCTATTGCAACTAATGCAGACCATTAATTAATCAATTGATTGATTGATTGATTGATTGTTTGTTTGAAAAATGTATTTCACGTATTGTATTGTATGTAGCTACAATGTAAGTAATGCCTATTGTAACTATTCGCATAGTTTAATATGCGTTTATTAAACATGCAAGTAATTGCACAATGTGCAATATTTTCGTAAAAGCGCATGTAGTACACATGTTTTTATTGATTTCATAAAATTCATGTTTTTTTACGATACAAAACAATGTAATGCATTATTACATTGCAACGTATTTTTTAATAATTTTATCCATATTATTATTGATATTCATAATATCAAAATACGTCAACATAACGGCTGCTAGCAGTAACAGGTCAAGAGTTGAGCACCTCTGTCACCTGTTGAATAACATGCGCGAGTCGACCTTCCTTCTCCGTCGCGACTCGCCGTCGCGCGGCCCGTCGGCCGTAGCCAGCCGCTCATTGGCTGACATTCAATCGCGATTATCTAATTGACTAATTATCAAAACAAAATTTTAACTGTGCCATCTTATTCCATTTTTCAAAACGAATCGAATGGTACCAAACTCTTCATATGTTTCAGAATCAACCTGTGTATATATATATATATATATATATATATATATATATATATATATATATATATATATAATTTTTCTAATTCAATACGAAAATGAATTCTTACTCATTAACGCGACAACCACAATAGTACGAACAATATAAATAATAGGTGACATTAACATCACATACCGAAAACGTAAATGACGTTATTTATTTTTTTTATTGTCAAATGACATTATTTTTGCGAAGAGTCTTTGAAAGAACTTGCTTTCTTTAAAAAAGTTTGCTGATAAGGAGATCAAAATCTATCTCGATAATAAATTTATTAACATATACGATCCGATTTTTAGAAACTCTATTCAGATGGGTTTATACAAAAAGACATTCTGGCAAATCGAAACAAGGGCAAAGGTCAGTAGATAAAGGGCTTAATTTCTTATTAATGAATAAAAATAAGTCTATATGAATTTGATTACGAAAAGTGGGAAAGTTATAAATCGAAAAGATAATGAAGATAAATCTAATGATATAGTTAAATTGAAGGTGATGTGAAGCAGAGTATGTCACGATGAGCGAAACGTTTTTAGAACTAGCATCTTTGACGAATTCAGTTAACCCATTAACGACCAAAGAGGTCACTTTTTGGACATATTTTTGATCGCAAAATTCATTTGTAAAACGAAACAATAAATTGATCCAGGGTACCATAACTTATGTTTTTGGGCGTGCTGAATCTAAATCCGGGCTCAAAATTCAAAAATGTTGCTTACAGAATTAAATATGGCCGATTTTTTATAAAAAAATAGGGAAATTTTGAAAAAAAAAAATTTTTTTGGAATTTTTTTCTACTATAACACATGTCAATCTCGAAATCTTTCTTCAACCATGAGTGCACAAAATTGTTGAACTTTAACAGAAAATTTTTATATTTAAAGTTTTTTTTCCAAAATGGCGGAAAAAATGCCAAAATCTGGAAAAAAAATGCGTTTTAGTTCACTATTTTTTTCTCAAAAACTATGAGGTTAAGGAAAAAGTTTTATGTAACAAAAATGTCTTATAATTTGTCAAGGAACACTCTGAAATTTTTTCAAATTTTTTGAAAATTTTTTTTAATTTTTCAAAAAATTACAGAATTGAAAATTTCACAAAAATTTCGAAAAATTCTGTAAAAATTAAAGAGTATTCATTGACTAATTCTAAGACATATTTGATCTTATAAATTTTTCCCGAAAGCCTATAGTTTTCGAGAAAAAAATTCTCAACCAATCGTGGAAATTATATTCAACCGTTTCAACTTTTGGAATTTCATAAGATAAGTTGGGGTGCAAATGTACGAGATTTCCATTCTCCATGAGGTTGGAGGAAAAAATCGTATTACCTGAGTATTACCTTAGTGCTCATAACATTTATATTTAGATTTTACTCTCAGCGTAGCCCATCTCTTCTCTTAGAAAAGTTTTACCAAAACCTATTTGGGCAGATCGATTGAAGTCGATAAACATAACGTGGTTTTTCAACTCAAAAGTTATTCAAATTCATCCTTTGAAATTAGGAGATTTTCTTAACATTTTCGTGTTTATACTAGCAATGCCTCGGAAAAGATCGAGAAGTGCTGTTTCTTCTGAATCTGGAAGTGAATCTCAATCATGCACCATAGACGATCATGAAAATTGCATGATACCAAATGCAGAATATTGTGGTTCGTCAGATTTTAAAAATGATTCAGATAGTGATTGAGATAATTATCGTGATGAAAAAATAACGAAAGCTACTTACAAGGGAGTTTCAAAAAGTTATCAAGCTGATCAAGCTAAGCTTGAAAAAGATTATAAATTTGATTGGGTAGATGGTGAAAAGATATATTCTGATATAATTGAAGATAAAATATTATTTCCTAGATCTACAAAAGAAAAAATTAGAAAATGTGATCCAAGAGAACTGTTTGAACATTTTTTTTCTATTGAAATGAAAAATTATATTATCGACGCATGTAAGGAAAATCATTTTGACTTATCATTAGTCGATCTAAATACATTCATTGGAATCATTATAACAAGTTCATTCAATAAACGAAAATCTCAAAGAGATTATTGGTCAACTAACCCTTTTTTATCTTGTGAAAAAATTTCTTCAGCAATGTCACGATCTCATTTTGAAATGATAAAGTCTAAATTGAAATACTCAAAGGCCAAAGATAAAGATCCACAAGATAAGGCTTGGCGAGTTCGTGCTTTGTTGAAACTGTTTCAAAAGAATATTCTGAAGTTTGGCTTTTGGAATTCAGCTTTATCAGTGGATGAAATGATGGCTAAATCGTATGCTAGAACGTGTTTGAAACAGTTTATACGAGGAAAACCTACACCATTCGGTCTTAAATTTTGGGATTTGTGCGCTGCTAATGGATACTTATTCAATATAGATTTATACTGTGGAAAGAACTCTGTAATAGGAGATAAGTTATCTAAATGCGCTTTAGGATCTCGCGTGGTTTTACATTTATTGAAGCCTTTTTTTGAATTGACTTCTGATGCAACAATTCCTCTTTATCATCTTTATTTTGACAATTACTTTACAAATTTAGATCTTGTTGTGCATTTAAACCGATTAAAATTGAAATGTACTGGAACTGTTAGAGACAATCGTGTCCCAGTAAAAAATGTCATTCATAAAAAGGCTCCACGTGGAACATATGTAGTAAAGCATAAAAAAAACTCTGGAATAAATTACATCATGGTTATGAATTCAAAGCCAGTATTAATACTATCTACAGCTGCAGGGGTCACTCCATTATCATCAGCAAAGAGATACAGTTCGATCGAAAAAGAAAAAGTCGATATACCAGTTCCGCAAGCTTTTCACCTTTATAATCAGTCCATGGGTGGAGTTGATGTACACGACGGTCACTGTAACAATTTGTTGCCAAGTATTCGTTTGAAGAAGTGGACGTGGGTGGTTTTCGTTAGACTTATCCAAGCAGCAATTACAAATGCAGTTGTAATATTCAATGCTGTTGATGATAGTAAAAAAAAAGTTGGAACTAAAGAATTTGCAATGTCAATAGCGAAAAGTTACATTCATGATGCTGAAAAAAATAAGGAAAAGCATACAACAATTCGAAAAAAGAAATAGAACAAGTGTTCCATTTGTCCAATAAGAACATATGTGTATTGTGAGAAGTGCAATTTGTTTTTTTGCAGTGCATGCATGAAAGCAAAGCATGTCTGATGACAGTGAGAGGCCAGGGAACTTATGATAAAAAAGCACCTTGTAGAGTGAGAGGAGAGGGGATTTACTATAAAAAAGCACCCCGAGGAGTGAGAGGCAAGGGGACTCACTATAAACAAGCACCTCGATGGAGACATGATTTTACTACGTCCACGCTGTTGTCTCTGGGTTACGCCAAGAGTAAAATATTAATATAAACTGAAAGTAGTCACACTTTAGAGGTACTTACGCAATACTTTATTTAGAACCTCTTGATAAATTAAACTTCGGTACGTTTTGTAACGAGTAGACTCGTTAAGGGGTAGATGAGCGGGATTCGAAATAGCGCGCCATGCGCAGTAGACCCGCGCAGCGAGGAAGAGAAAGAGAGATAGCTACGACGCGCCGATTCGAGAGAGTACACGTGAGACCGGCAAGTGGGTAGCACGCGCATACAGAGCCATTGTCCCTTTTATCTTCTTTTGTCATTTTTGGTGTGTGAAATAATCGAACGAGGTGGAAGAGTTATCGCGAAGAGGGAGTGTCGTAATTGAGGCTGGTATTCTGCGGCGACTGTCGTGGCAGTACGACCGAGTTGGAAGGTATCAGCTGAGCGAGGAGACCCGGCTCGTCGCCCACAGTATACGAGGAACCGATCGTAGTTCTCCCGGCTTCAACGACCTTGGGCGACGACCTTTACGAGATTAAACTCGGGTTATAAGGCGAAGCTGTCTGCAGCAGCGTTCGCTCGCGTAAGTCCACCTAAATATTGTAATATTCGCGTGTGGAAGACTGCGCGGCCTGCGCGCCGGCCGAAATCGCATCACCCGTCTCTCTCTCGCGCGTACGTTTAAGGAGACCATGCGCCGCGAATCTCTCGGTCAATGCGGAATGCGCACTAGTGTGTAATCAAATGACGAATAAAACCCGTTCTGGTTGTACTGAGTAAGACGGCGAATTTATTCGATTACACCGAATCTTTCTCTACGTTCCCTTCTCCTTCGCAATGTTTTCTGAGAACCTGCAACCGTCGCTCTTCTTCGTTTTCCCGTGCTTTCGCGCTCGTTTTCAGGTTGCGCTGCCGGCACGGAGCTAGCCAAAAGGAAGGAAACAACGGCGACATAGATATTTTGTTAACGGACAGTGATTCGCTTACGAAGAAAATTATTCCCGTTACAGTTTATACCCCAACTTATCTTATGAAATTCCAAAAGTTGAAACGGTTGAATATAATTTCCACAATCGTTTGAGAATTTTTTTCTCGAAAACTATAGGCTTTCGGGAAAAATTTATAAGATCAAAAATGTCTAAGAATTAGTCAAAGAATACTCTCTAATTTTTCCAGAATTTTTCGAAATTATTTTGAAATTTTCAATTCTGTAATTTTTTGAAAAATTAAAAAAAAATTTCAAAAATTTGAAAAAATTTCAGAGTGTTCCTTGACAAATTATAAGACATTTTTGTTACATAAAACTTTTTCCTTAACCTCATAGTTTTTGAGAAAAAAATAGTGAACTAAAACGCATTTTTTTCCAGATTTTGGCATTTTTTCCGCCATTTTGGAAAAAAAACTTTAAATATAAAAATTTTCTGTTAAAGTTCAACAATTTTGTGCACTCATGGTTGAAGAAAGATTTCGAGATTGACATGTGTTATGGTAGAAAAAAAATTCCAAAAAAATTTTTTTTTTCAAAATTTCCCTATTTTTTTATAAAAAATCGGCCATATTTAATTCTGTAAGCAAAATTTTTGAATTTTAAGCCCGGATTTAGATTCAGCACGCCCAAAAACATAAGGTTTGGTACCCTGGATCAATTTATTGTTTCGTTTTACAAATGAATTTTTCGATCGAAAATATGTCCAAAAAGTGACCTCTTTGGTCGTTAATAGGTTAAGACAATTGAAAAAGACAAAGTTTTTCCGGTGAAGTTATCTTGTAACAATAATGTAGTTCTGTCTATTACAGAAATGCATGGTGGAGTTAAACTCAAAGATTTACCCTCTATCCGAGAAAATTACGTTAAATAGTGTTTCAGAGACGGTTAGTAAAAATAAAATGGATTCAATCGAAGGACCAATTGATCAATATTTTTACAAAGCCTCTATCATTCGGGATTCACGCGAATTTAACCGACTTGATTTTAAATGTAGAATATAATTGTTTAACGGACTTACCTACTATGGCCAAGGTGATTATATAGAGGCGTACACCTACACCGAAGAGATAGTATATGATAACTGTTGCCATGATCGAAACCAGGCTGACGATGGATATCATGCGATCTGGCTTCAACCGCATAACCAGTAAATTATTAGTGTGTTATATCTAGTTTTAGTCAACGTTTGATCACTGCGATGTGCAGACATGCCAACATTGCGCTTTACTCGAAAAGCTAAAGTATTAGCGAATCAGTGAAGTGACAGTTAAATTCAAAATTTAATTTAATAAACTCCAAAAAAAGTCAGAATATGACAAGACCACTTCTAATAAAAACAACGAAAATTGAAAAATCGTAATCGATAAAAGAAAGAAACAGTTCAAAAAACCAAACTCAAAATAAAAAACAACAAGCACAATTATCAGATTACTGGCTAAATAATACAAGCAACAGGTACGAAATACTTCAAGATAATGAAGAAAATCAAAGTGTAGAAGAAAACAATGGAACAAATAAGTTGAAAAACAAATCCTCTCCGATCTTCATTTATAATGTAGACAATATCAAACCGTTAAAAAATCTACTATACACAATAGCCAAAGAAAATTATACCTTAAAAGTGACAGATTAAACAAAATTAAAATTCAGCCAACAGCTTCCGAAAAATATTTGCCAATTATTACTGCATTGAAAAAAACACGCAATTTCACACGTATTAGTGTAAAGAAGAAAAAGGTTTCAAAGTTATATTAGGAAGTATTCACCCGTCAGTTGATATATAGGGTGGACCATTTTAAGTGAGCCAGTACGTTTTCTCGGAAACTAGTGGGGATAGCGAAAAATGTTTCAAACGAAAGTTGTCCAACTTGGAGGGGGACATACCCTCATGACCTTGCCTGTGTCCTTGGATGTAAGGTTCAAGGTCATTTCAAGGTCAACTTTGTTTTTTTAAACGGGGCCCCTCATTTTGACCCCGGATTCGAAAAGCGTTGATTCGCCCCTTTTATCATATGCTAGCGCAAGGCCGTATGCTTTTCTAGCTTAACCATCCATTTTACCCCATAAAAGTAACATTTACCGTGAAGATAGAATATCTGTCATTGTATGGTTTGGCTTATCGAATCTCTTCATTCTCCCAAAACAAAAATTATTTTTTGATACAGCAGCTTAGTTTATTCGTTCATTTCACTGAATAAAGATTTTGTGTTCATTAAAGAGAATTTTTTTGTTACAAATTTTTATTAAAAATTAAATCAAAAGCCTTTTGTTTCGGAGTATGCCGGATTATACTGCGCGTGAACGTGTTGACATGATTATTATTCTTGGTCTAGCCGGAGCGAATTATCGTAGAGCTGCAAGACTTTATCAAGAACGTTTCCCGTACCGAAGACACCCTAATCGTAACACCATTCGAAGGGTTCATGTGAAAGCTCAACAAGGACATTTATTTCGTACGCGAAGACATCATACTTACGATGAGAATGATGTTCGCGTGCTTGTGATATTGGCAATTATACATGACAATCCTCATATTAGTACATTACAAATTCAAAGAGAAACTGGCATACCAAAACAAACTGTCTTGAGAATTTTGAGAAGCCAAAAATTCCGACCATATCACATCACTCTCACTCAAGCCATCACACCAGATGACATGGAAAGACGACTGGAGTTTTGTCGTTGGGCAAGAGAAATGATTCAAAATGACAGAACTTTTTTCCGTAATGTCATGTTCTCTGACGAAGCTACATTCAAAAATAATGGGGAGCTCAACAGGCACAACTGTCATTATTGGTCAGCTGAAAATCCTCATTGGCATCGACACATAGATCATCAGCATCATTGGAGCGTCAACGTGCGGTGTGGCATTATCAATGGACATGTGATTGGACCTTACTTTTTTGAGGGAAATGTCAATGGGGAAAACTTTTCTCGATTTTTACAAAATGAAGTAGATGCACTACTGGAAGAAGTTGACCTCCAAACAAGACTGAGAATGTGGATGCAGTTAGATGGAGCTCCTGCGCATTTCCATAGAAATGTTAGAGCTTACCTGGACAACAGATTCAATGGTAGATGGATCAGTCGCGGTGGACCAGTTGCATGGCCACCACGATCTCCCGACTTGACATCTCCTGACTTTTACTTATGGGGATACTTGAAGAATGTCGTTTATCAAGAACAACCAACTACCTGAGAAGACATGATGGATAGGATCAGGATCGCATGTCAGAACATACCGCAGGATGTACTACTAAGGACAGTAGATAATTTTCATCGGAGAATTGAATTATGCATTCAAGGAGAAGGAAATGTCTTTGAACACTTACTGTAAAATATTTCACATGTAATTAACAATTGATTAATTTGGTAAATAAATAGTAAATCTAAAATACTTTAATCACTTATCTTCTTCATCACATTACGACCATGAATAAACAGGGCAACATAGACCGCACACGTGACGGCTAAACAAGACGTTGAGTAGAATTTCCGGTCTTTCCGAATCCGGGGTAAAAATGAGGGGCCCCGTTTAAAAAAACAAAGTTGACCTTGAAATAATCTTGAACCTGACCTCCAAAGTCACAGGCAATGTCATAAGGGTATGTCCTCAAGTTGAGCAACTTTTGTATGAAACTATTTTTTGTAAATCTTACACTCGTAAAAAAATAAAAATGACCTTCAAATAACCTTGAGGGTCACCCCAGACCCCACGTATAATAGGTCATCTAAACGTAGAATTTCCCGTCCTTTCCAAATCCAGGGTCAAAAATAGGGGGTCCCGTTTAAGAAAACAAAGTTGACCTTGAAATGACCTTGAACCTTACATCCAATGACACAGGCAAGGTCATGAGGGTATGTCCCCCTCCAAGTTGGACAACTTTTGTTTGAAACATTTTTCGCTATCCCCACTAGTTTCCGAGAAAACGTACTGGCTCACTTAAAATGGTCCACCCTGTATATGAAATAAAAACAATCATAGAAGAACATGGATATAAAGTTTTAAATATTTATAATATAAGGCATCGCATCACAAAACTACTATTGCCGCTTTTCACAGTTGGAATTGAACATGATTATAAAAATCAGGAAATTTGTAAATAAAACCGACTATTAAACATGGTAATCAAATTTTAGCCATCCAACGCTAAAAGAGAAATTCCTCAATGTCAAAAATATCAAGAATACGGACACATAAAAAACTATTGTTGCAAAAGTGCTATGTATATGAAATGTGATGAGCAACACCAAATTAAACAATGTTCTATTAAACAAAAATACCAAACGTAACATGCGCAAACTGCAAAGGAAATCATACCGCAAACTATAAAGGATGCCCAGTTCGTAAGCAATTACATCAAAAACTATTTTCTAGACTATGAGAAAAAACGTTAAATCAAAATAATATTCAAACCCATCAAAATTCAAATTTAAATTTAAATGCTACAGCAATAGAGTTAGATCAAACATAATAACCCAATAACCCAATAATATATGCACAGGTAACATCAAAACAAAATGATCAGAGTGAGATAGAAATAACAAAACAAACAGCTGTATAAGCAGAGCTAAGCAGGCATACTAACGAAGTAAACACAAATAATAAACTCGAACATTTGATGGAGCAGCTGATGCAAAGAACATATAGTATGTTAAATATTTTAACTGTACTAGTATTCAAAATGGCACAATGAGCAGTCTAAAACTCGCTATCTGAAACTCAAACAGTCTTATGGAGAAGCACATTAAATTAAAAGCATTTTTAATCTATAAAAGTCTAGACATAATGTTGATATCAAAAATACACTTTACAAGTAAAAATTATCTTAATATACCAAACTACACTGTACTTATCATCTACTTAATAAAGCTCACGGAGGTACTGTAATTAAAATCAAAATAAAAATAAACCACTACATCCACACTTACTCTAGTGAAATCTACTTATAAACAACCAGTGTAATCATCAAGAATAAAGACGGACCGATAACAATATCAGCTGTTTACTGTCCTATAAAAAAAGTAATTACAAAAGAGAACTGGACTGACTTTTTCAACACACTAGAAAATCGCTTTATAGGAGGCAATCATATTGCGGAACAGCCGTGGTGGGAATCAAGATCATTAACTCCAATATACAGAGGCAGAGTACTCTATAAAATACTACAAAAAAAATAACTACATTCAGATATCCACTGAAGAACCAACATACTAGCCTACAGATATAAACAAGCTTCCGGATTTGATTGACTTTGCTAAAAGTAAAAAGTATTGTTATGACAAGAAATGAAACACTATTAATCTTTAGAATAATTTATTTTTTGAATTCAAATATAATCAGAGTACGACGTTACTATCTCGCGTATGTGCATTGAAAGAGAGCTAGCGCGCCGAAGAGAGGCATTTGATTGTCCCTCGTTGCTATAGTAATAACAACTTTGTCTTCTTAGCAACTAAGCAAACTGATTTTGTTTTAATAACAAAAATTTGAACATTTGTTTAATTGCTAAGGAAACAAGAAATAGCGATATGTATTTATTTTTTTTTATTTCTACATGCGTATAAAATTATTATGGCTATCTGGAATATCCTCCCCACCTACAAAATTCTCGTTTTAATTTTGCACAATTCAACTACAAAAAAATATATATTAACTAAACTTCAAATGACATTCACTCCAAATGAGTCTCAATAATGTTTACCATGACTACCCAGCCTTCCGTCCGAATTTAAGCCTCTGCGCTTAAATTCCACGTAGTCTTACCTTTCATCGATTATTCTAATCTAAATCGGTGGTAAGGATTCTGCGCCCATTAAAGCACTATTCTTTAATGACGCGGCCTTGACGCAGTCTGGTATATTATAATAATTATTTATAAACATTTTTATGCAAATTTAATTAACTTATTACTTGGCCTTGTTAATGTACCATTTTCCGTACGTAATTCGACTACACGAATTCTACCATCTTGCCCTGGTAAAATTTGAGTTCCAAAACACCTTTTTTCTAACAGTTTCAGGGAATATTCTCATCTATAATTATAGCTAAATCATTTTCTTTTAATTGTGGCTGGTCATTTTGCCACTTTTTACGTGTATGTAAAGTCGGTACATATTCACGTAGCCATCTTGACCAAAATTTATCTGCATACATTTGAGCAATTTTCTATTCTTTTTTTAAGTTTATATTTTCGTAATTATAACGCGGAAGGTGTAATTGACCTGATGAAGAATTGAATAGAAAATGATTCGGTGTGAGTGCTTCTTTCTCATGAGGATTTGCTGAAACATGCGTTAACGGCCTTGAATTGATACTGTGCTCAAGTTCAGTTAATAAAGTTTGTAATGATTCTTCAGGGAGGATTTGATTTTTAATTATACCTGCTAATGCATTTTTTACAGATCGTATGAGTCTTTCCCACGCTCCTCCCATGTTTGACGCTGTAGGTGGATTATACTACGTCCTCGCTCTCCTACATTACAAATGTAGTATCCCTCCGTTAGGCAGGCTTAATATCACACGTATAAGTCCCAAAAGCAAGCAGCGACACCTACAGCTCGCGCCCGACTTCCTTCAGTTTTTTCCGTGTGCGCATGGCGTCAACACGTAATCGACTTTAAGAGTTTAGTCGTGTCTTATTAAACATTAAGATGTTCGGAAAAAAGCGTAAGCCGGAGGATGAGAGGCTAAAAAATTTTGCAAAGAAAATCAGGAAGATCGAGGAGAGACAAGAATTAGAGAGGTTAAGAGCGCAAGTATTGGCCTCTCAGAATCTTGAAAAGAATCCCGATCAGAACCACGAAAACGAGACCTCATTATCAGATGTCTCAGAACCAAGAAACCTTGAAGAAAAGGAAACACCCGAAGAGGAGAGGGATGAAGAGTGGTTGAAAATCGTAAGTAAACCATTTTGAGTGTTTCAAAAATGTGTGAAACGATCGATCGTGTGAATTGCATGAACGTTATAGGCTTGGGAAATTTGATACGCCGTGTTTACATGAATGGTAAAACGAAGGCGAAATATCGGGTCTGTGCTTGCTGCGTGGCAAGACAAAGACTTCATATATATTTGTCGGTGCTAACTGCTTGGTTAGACGAGACAAAAAATAATCGCGCAAAATTCTGTGCTAACTGCATGGTTAGACGGAAAAACAAAAATGCGCGTGGCTATTATGAAAAAGTGTCGGTGCTAACTGTGTCGTTAGACGAGACACATAAAATTCAAAATTTTCTTACATAAATGAATAATCATTTGTAAATTTTGTCAGATTGGCGATGATCCCAAGGAAAGCAGAGCAATAATAATGCAGGTTAGAGAGGATCTATTGAATCGTTGGCAATTCATTTGTAGAGAAGCAAATACGAAAGAGATGAAAGAATTGTTTGAGCAATTAGACAAGTATGAATGCTTAAAAGGTTTGATGGCCCCTAAGTTAAATCAACAAATAATTAGCGCATTAAAGGAGACTGCAGTAACTAGAGATAAGTACATGATCGAGGTACAAAACATTGCTGGTAAGGCAATCTGTATTATTGGTTCCTTAATGACGTCACTCTATGAAGGTGCTGAGGAGGTGGAGCTTGAGACTTTATTAGAATGTTTAAGTGATATAGCTAGGTTGTTATCCTTCATGATTTTTAAAGAATCAAAATCAAGAAAAGCATTCATTGAACCGGGTTTAACAAAGGAAACTGTAGCAATTTTAAAGGATACAAAAATTGATGAATTTCTTTACGGAGAAAATCTGACAGAAAAATTGAAAGAAGCCAAGGCTGTTACCAGGCTGGCTGACTCTATGAAAGCTCAAACTCTACCCAATAAGAAAATCAATTCAAATAATCCTCAGGCCAAACAGCTTTTAAACTCAAGGTTCCCGTTCTCGCGTCGTCCGGGCCAGACGGGATTTACGTCTACAGGAGGACGACAGAAACAAAGGCCATACTTCAAAAACAAACAACAGTTTGTAAACCACAATGCTCAACCGCCAAACCAACGCCCATCAAATCAGCAGAAACAACAAGAAAAGAGCATTTAAATAATGTAAGGCCAATAGCTGGTAGATTAAAACATTTCATACACGCATGGAAAAATATTACTGATGAAAAATTTGTTTTAAATTGTTTAAACGGTTATCAAATTCCAGTTTCAAAAAAGGTAGTTAAATATAATAGATTTCAAGTGCATGAACCAATAAAAAATTCTGTTTTATTTGAAGATTGTCGTATAGCTGTGGAAAAACTTTTAAAAAAGGGTGCTATAGTAAAATGTGATTATTCTGAGGACCAATGGGTATCTTCGTACTTTTTAGTTGAAAAGCCGGATGGTTCTTATAGATTCATTTTAAATTTAAAACAATTCAATAAGTTTGTATTTAAACAACATTTTAAGATGGAAAATTTAAACACAGCAGTAGAGCTCATTTTTCCAGATTATTTTTTAGCGTCAGTAGACTTAGAAGATGCTTATTTCTTAATACCGATTCATGTTAATAGCAGAAAATTTTTGAGATTCAGTTTCAATGGAAAATTGTACGAATTCGTTTGTCTACCTTTTGGTCTTTGCACAGCACCATATATTTTTACTAAAATAATGAAAGTTGTGGCAAGGTACTTAAGATCTTTAGGTTTTTCATCAGTAATATATTTAGATGACATACTATGCATAGAAAGTTCATTCGAAAAATGCCAAAGAAATATTAATCAAACTGTCAAACTATTGGAAACTTTAGGATTTCGAGTAAATTATCGCAAATCAGAATTGATACCGAAACAGATATGCAAGTTTTTAGGTATTATAATTGATACGAAGGAGTATGCTATAAAATTACCAGATGACAAGAGAGAACGAGTTTTAAAATTAGTAGAAAAATTTTTAAAAATACATAAATGTACTATTAAGGAATTTGCTCAATTAATTGGCAAACTTATATCTTGCTGCATAGCGATTGAATACGGTTGGTTATATACCAAACAATTAGAAAAGGAAAAGATTTTCCAACTTATATTCAATGATTATAATTACAATAGTGTCATGTCAATACCCAGTAGAGTTAAAGAGGATCTTTTTTGGTGGAAGAATAATATAAAAGAAAAAATCCATTTTATTAAAACAGTTAATTTTGCAATGACCATTTACACTGACGCATCCACCACTGGTTGGGGAGCGTCAAACGACTCTAGAAATATTTATGGGTTTTGGTCAGATGTGGAATCTAAATTTCACATAAACTATTTAGAATTATTAACTATAAAAATAGCATTAGAGGAACTTGCGTCTGATTTGAAAAATGAACAAATACTAATAAAAACCGATAACACTACTGCATTGTCTTATGTAAACAAAATGGGCGGTATAAGGTTTCAAAAATTTAGTTCTCTAGCTAGAAAAATCTGGCAATGGGCGGAATCAAGAAATATTATTCTGATAGCTTCATATATTCCTTCGAAAAAGAATAAAGTGGCTGACAGCCTATCTAGAAAAAAGAACATTGATACGGAATGGGAGCTAAACCATAATTATTATAATGTTATTGTGAACACTTTTGGAAAACCGTCTATAGACTTGTTTGCTACTGCTAAAAATGCAAAATGTGAACATTTTATTTCTTGGGGCCCAGAAAATAATGCGTCATTTATCGATGCATTCACGGTTAATTGGTCAAATTTTTATTTTTACGCCTTTCCACCCTTTTCATTAATTCTTAAGGTTTTATCAAAGATAAAACGTGAAAAGGCGTATGGAATTGTGGTAATTCCTTTTTGGAAAAATCAGCCGTGGTTTCCATTGTTTGAGAGTTTGATTGTCGGCAGTCCTATTATTTTTGAGCCTGATCCAACAATATTGTTGTCACCATGTAGGTCAATCATCCACCCAAGATCGAAACACTTACGAATGATAGCTTGCAGAGTATCAGGCAAGCCTTTTTAAATAGAAAGATGTCAGAAAAATCTACAGATTTAATTTTGGCATCAATAAGTAAAGCAACACTAAAACAATACGCAGGACCGTTAAAACAATGGAAAAGTTATTGTGAGAAAAATGATCTTGATATGTTTGATGTTAAACCAAATAATTTGATAGAATTTTTAACTATACGCTTTGATGAAGGTGCCTCATATGGCACAATCAATTCATGTAAATGTGCCATATCTCTTCTTACCAAAGATAAAGTTGGTAGTCATTGCGATGTAGTTAGATTCATGAAAGGTGTTTGGAGATCAAGACCTCAAAAACCAAAGTATTCTAGTACTTGGGATGTTGCGATAGTATTGAATTATTTAAAAAAAATTAATGTGTCAGATGTCAAAAATCTAACAATTAAGACCGTAACTCTCTTAGCCTTATGTTCTGCTCAAAGAGCTCAAACTATTTCAAAAATTAGGTTAAGTCAAATCAAAAAAGTCCCTAATGGACTTGAAATAAACATTCCAGATTTAATAAAAACTTCCGGCCCAGGCCGCTACCAGCCAGTCTTACAATTAGCATTGTTTAATGAGAACCCAAGCCTTTGCCTGGTTTCATCTATTTTGTCTTACATAAAACAGACCGAGTCATCGAGAGATGGCATTGATGAATTGTTTTTGTCAACTGTAAAACCCATTCACGCCGTTAGTTCTACTACGATCAGTAAATGGGTTAAAAAATGTTTGAAAGAAAGCGGAATTGATGTGTCGATTTTTTCGGCTCACTCTACACGACACGCATCTACGTCAACAGCGGCTGAAAACGATGTTGACTATGATACTATAAGACGAACGGCTGGCTGGTCTGAAAGTTCTCAAGTTTTTGCAAGGCATTATAAGAGACCTATTCAAAAAGATGGGTTCGATTTTTCAAAAGTTGTATTACAGAGAAGTTTACAAAAATAAAATTTTTTATATTAAGAAATTAATTTATTGGGTGGTGAAATCATTTTACCAATAAACTCTAAAAAACTACATTTGTAATGTAGGAGAGCGAGGACGTAGTATAATTGTACGATCAAACGAACTTATCTGTAAGTGAAGTTCGATCGAGATTATATGAAGTCCTCGCTCGAGTACATTACATCCCACCCAATCGCCAATTTATTAATTGTCTACCCTATTCCCTATATTATTGGTAAAATGAAATATAGGAGTGCTCGCGTCCGCTTACTCTGAAAATTGAAGGAAGTCGGGCGCGAGCTGTAGGTGTCGCTGCTTGCTTTTGGGACTTATACGTGTGATATTAAGCCTGCCTAACGGAGGGATACTACATTTGTAATGTACTCGAGCGAGGACTTCATATAATCTCGATCGAACATCACTTACAGGTAAGTTCGTTTGATCGTACAATTAAATTTCCATTCGATTTTGTTAGTGGCTGAATATTCAATAATTTTCCAATTTTCTAATGATTCTAAAGCTTCCGATAATTGTTTACTTGCTCCTACAAAATTGGTACCATCGTCAGAATAAATAATTGACGGAGAACTTCTTCGAGCGGAAAATCTACGTAGAGCCATTATTGCTGAATCCGCTCTTCGACTATGTGCTAATTCTAAATGTACGGCTCTTCTTGTCATGCAAATAAACATTACTCCCTACCGTTTTTCTACTCTTCTACCAATTTTTACTTTCATAGGACCGAAATAATCCATGCTACAGTGACTGAAAGGTTTTAAACAATAAGCTAATCGAGCTTCAGATAACGCTCCCATTCGCGGTTGATTTGGAATTGCTCTCAATAATCAATATTTATTACAATTGGCAACAATATTTTTGAATACTCGTCTCAAAACTATTATAACGTACTTTTGACGAATTTCATTATCTACGAGGTGTGTTCAAAAAGTAAGGTGACTTTGTATTTTTAAGATAAAATATTTATTTATTTATCAATATTTATGTTGTCCCCTTCAAAGTGATCCCCCTTAGATACAATATACTTATGCCAACAGTTTTTCCAATCCTCAAAGCACTTCTCATAAGCACTTTTCGGTATAGCCTTGAGCTCTTCCAGCGATGTAGTCTTTATCTCTTCAATCGTTGCAAATCTCCGTCCTTTCATAGGTCTCTTTAGTTTTGGGAACAAGAAAAAGTCACATGGGGCCAAATCTGGTGAATATGGTGACTGAGGCATGATTGTGGTGTTGTTTTTGGCCAAAAAATCTCTCACAAGCAAAGATGAGTGAGCAGGGGCATTATCGTGATGCAAAAGCCATGAATTGTTTTTCCACAATTCTAGGCGTTTTCTTCGTATTGCTTCTCGCAAACGGCGCATAACTTCAAGATAATACTGTTTTTTGACCGTACGTCCATATGGTAAGAACTCCTGATGCACCACGCCATGGTAATCGAAGAAAACAGTGAGCAAAACTTTGACATTTGATCGAACTTGGCGTGCTTTTTTCGGTCTTGGCTCATCTGGGCTCTTCCATTGGGACGATTGGACTTTGGTTTCGATATCATAACCATATACCCATGATTCGTCACCAGTTATGACCCTTTTGAGTAAATCTGGGTCGTCTTTGACGTAATTCAACAGTTCTTGAGCGATGCTCATACGACGGTTCTTTTGGTCAAAATTTAGCAATTTCGGAACAAACTTCGCTGACACGCGTCTCATGCCCAAAACGTTAGAAAAACTTTCATGGCACGAGCCAAGCGATATACCAACATCCTCAGCAATTTCTCTGATAGTGATTCGACGATTTTGCAGAACAATTTTCTTCACTGGTTGAACGTTTTCATCAGTGTTGACGTGCTTGGGCGTCCAGAGCGAGGCTCGTCATTGGCATCTTCCCGGCCATCTTGGAAGAGTTTGTACCACTTGTAAACATTTTTTTTTACTCAGAACAGTTTCACCGTATGCCACCGTCAACATTTCAAGTGTTTCGGAGCACTTTATTTTATTTTTTACACAAAATTTGATGCAAATCCTTTGATCCATATTTCTCGATAGCAAGAAATCGCCGAGCACGCAAAACACTTATAACCTTTACGCCTCTCACAACCAAACAAAAAATGCTATGCACTTGAAACTTGGTACAGATTTTCGGGAAGAGTGTACCAACATAACAAAATAAAAAAATCGATAATCGAAAGTACGTTGCCCGTGAAATTTGAAAAGTCACCTTACTTTTTGAACACACCTCATACAGCTTCGTGATTCATGTGAAAAAATTGTAAATAAAAATGCCGAATTAATAATTTTGAAAATCTTTCGTTATCGTCAAGTATTATTGGATTAATTTGTTACGTCTCGTGCATCAACTACGAATAGCTAATGAATGAGACGTTCCAATATGTTGACTAGTGGTCGGATATGTCTCACTTATAATAAATATATGTAGAAATGTATGTCTGATGATTGTATTACCTTGATAATTGTAGCTTTTAATTGTGGATAAAATGTAGCAGGCTCTAACTGCTTGTTGGATTGTATGAGTGTAGCAGGCTCTAACTGCTTGTTGAATTGAATAGGATAGGTTGTTGAATAATACTTGCACGATATTACTTTGTAACAGTCGTGAGTTTATTAAGTAAAATGATCACCAATTGTCGGACCAGTGTGTACGGAGTTGAGTCTTACAGGTACTTATTGACTGACTGACTACTGATCAACTGACTCGTAATGATGTTCATTGCTTTTTATATGTTAATTTTCAGGTCAGTATTGAATTGTGACATTTTGTTTTTTGCTGAATATACATTCTTGTGCTCGGTGGCTTTATTTCGGAGTGCTATTTGTTTTGCGTTTTGTCAGCTTTCTGCTGACGTGTGAATATTTTAGCAGTTTTGAATTTCCTGAATATGCATTTGTTACAAAAGAGGATGTGTCGCAAGGTGTAACAACTTTATTTCGGAGTGTCATTTACCTCGCGTTTCGTCAGCTTTCTGCTGACGTGCGAATAGTTTTAGAAGCTTTGAATTTCACGAGTGTGCAGTTGTTACAAAAAGGATGCGTCGTAAGACGTAACAAATTCAATATTCTTTGTCGATTGTGGTTTGAATTCTACTTTCCGACCGTATTAAACAGTCTTCGTCTATGTAAGGAATCAAATTTAATATTTTACTATTATTGCGAACGACGCCAGTACTTCTTAAAGAAGCGAACTCTGCTTAACCCATTAAGTGGTAAACGTCCATGGCTGCAATGCTTCGATTTGACATTATGCCATTCGTACAATTCTCAATAGATTTGGATGAAATTTGGTTTTCTTACCTTATGTTTTAGTGTATGCTCTTTCGAAAAATCACCAAGTTTTTTTGAAAATCTTGACAGAAAAAAAAATATGGCCGATTTTTTCGAAAAAATTCCAAATTTTTTTCAATTTTTCTCCAAATTTCGCTCTGCTGAAAAGAAATGGACCCTAAAATAGGCTCCCTAAATAATTTTTTTCGCGACATGGGACAATTATCTTTCAAGCGCATTCGACTTTATTAAAAAATGTTGATTAGAAAAAAAAATATGGCGGTTTTTGTATCGTAGTGTAATTTAGAAATTCATGATTCTTTTACTCAAAAAATGTCAACTTTTGCAAAAATTGTTGTAGAACAAAAAGTGCTTAGAATTGGTCGAGGAACACGTGTGAATTTTTACTAAATAATTTGGAAAATTTTTGGAAAATTGAAAATTTGAATTTCCCGAAAATCCAAAAATATTTATACTTTTTTTTGGAAGTGCTTATTTTTGCCAATTTTAAGTAAATGTATGTGTTGAAATTAAATGAAATTGATAAAAAAGCTCCTCGTGGAACTTTTAATGTTTAATATGAAAAAAATAGCGGAATGAATTTCGTAACCGTGGTAGATTCTAAACAAGTTTCGTTTATTTCAACTGCAGCTGGTGTTACACCAACAAAAGAAGTGAAACGCTACTCCAAAGAAAAAAAAATGAGAACTGACATTTCTATGCCATTTGTGTTTTCACTTTACAACTTATTTATGGGAGGTGTTGACCTACACGATCAGTACTGTAGTGCTTTATTACCTATTATTAGAAGTAAGAGATGGACTTGGCCAAGATTGATGAGAGTTATCCAGTCTTCTATTGCAAATGCAGCAATACTCTATAATGCTTGTTCAGGCAAAAAAAAAGTAAGCGCAAAGAAATTCGCTTTGAGTATTGTAGATAGTTATGTCAAAAACGCTAAATTAGGTGATTTGAAAAACCACAATTTGAACCTAACTATCAGAAGAAGAGCTTGCAATGGACAAGGATGTGCTACTCGTACGTTTTACATGTGCAAAGAGTGTAAAAAGTATTATTGTAGTCAATGCTTTGCTAATTTACACAAGTAAATAATTGGTAACAAATGATTGTCAAAAAGAAATATTTCTAAAAACATAAAAATTGAATACAAAAAAATACAAAAAAACAAAAATTATAAAATACAAAAATACAAACAAAAATACAAACAAAAAAACTATTAATGTGGAGATTTTTTAATTTAAAAAATTTTATTTAGCTGCGTAAATTCGCAAAACTTGGATTGTATTTCCGTTACATTTTCGGTTGAATTCAAATACATACCAGCCATAAAATCACTAAGAATTGTTAAAAAAAGATGTTTAGAGAGAAACTTAATTATTATAAAATTTTTCAAAAATTTTCAATTTTTTATTTTTCAAAAAATTTTCAAATTTCAAAAATTCTCACATGTTTCTTGACCACTTCTAAGCACTATTAGTTCTATAATATTTTTTTCAAAAGTTGATATTTTTCGAGTAAAAAAATCATGAATTTCTAAAATACACTACGATACAAAAACCGCCATATTTTTTTTTCTAATCAACATTTTATAATAAAGTCGAATGCGCTTGAAAGATAATTGTCCCATGTCGCGAAAAAAATTATTTAGGGAGCCTATTTTAGGGTCTATTTCTTTTCAGCAGAGCGAAAT